GGTGTGTGTGTGTGTGTGTGTGTGTGTGTGTGTGTGTGTGTGTGTGTATGTGTGTGTGTGTGTAAAATCTAGATTCCATGTGTGAGAAAAAAATGTGGTATTTGTCTTTCTGAGTCTGGCTTTCCATTTAGCGAGATAATCTCCAGTCCTAGCCATTTTCTTGCAAACGATACGATTCTTTATGGTTGAATATAACTCCTCACTGTATTTTCTTTTATACATGCACATGCTCATAAACATGTAGGGTATCAGTGCATGCAGAGGTCGACTCTGAGCGTCTTCCTCAGCTACTCTACTTTTTTTAGAAATAGGGTTTCTCATGCACCCTGGAGCTCTTTGATTCTGCTAAGCTCGCCAGCCATCGGGCATTAGGGATCTGCTTGTGTCTACCCTAGCTCTGGATTTACAGACACACTCCACCACAACACGCTTGTATGTAGGCTGAGAGCTGTGCTCAGTCCTCATGCTTCCATCATGGACACTTTACCAGTGGAGCAATCTCTCCACCCCCAGGACCACATTTTTCTCCATCCATTCATCTGCTGATGGACAGCTAAGCTGAGCCCATGACCCGGCGGGTATGGGCATCTCCCTACAGGCATCTCTAGCCTATGCTGACATGTATTCCTTTGGTACATAGTCTCATGAACGGTACAGCTGCATCATACGAAGTTCTGGCTTTGGTTTTGCATTCCTTCCAGCTGTGGATTAGGGTGTCCTTCCCATCGCTGCCAGCATTTGCTGCTGTGGTGGTGACAACCATTCTGATAGGCAGGAAATGCAATCGCTGTGTTCAGTTTGCTGATGTTTCCCCAGGGGATACCGATCCTATGAACATTTTTTTTTCACATATTTATTGGCCGTTTGTACTTATTTTGAGAATCATCTATTCAATTCATTTGCCCACTTATTGACTGGATAATTTGGAGAAGAAAATTTGGTGTTTAATTTTTTAAGGTCTCTATATAGTCTGGATATTTAATCCTTGGTCACATGAATAATTGAAAAGGCTTTCTTTTTTAAGGTTTGTTTAATAAATAATTTATGTGTAAGTGCTCAGGTGTTTTGCCTGCACGTCTGTCTGTGCACCACCTGTGAGTGCCCAGCGCCTGTGGGGGTCAGAAGTGGGCACTGAATCCCCCTAGAACTGGAGTTACAGACAGTTGGGAGCTGCTGTGTGGGTGCTGGGAACCAAAAGCAGGTCCTCTGCCACAGCAGCCAGTGCCCCTAACTGCTAAGCCATCCCTCCAGCTCCTCTTTTCAGTGTTTATGTTCTCTCCCTCCCTCCCTCCCTCCCTC